TTCAGCAGAAAGTGTGTGACTTGTATGAGCACACTGGCATACTGTGCCAGGGGAACATGGTCAGTTTTTGTTAAATCTTGTGTTCTGCCGTAGCCAATTTCATCATACTGTAACCAAGTCACAAGATGTGACTACAAATGGCAGCTTGTATGAGGCCTCACTTCAAGGTTGAATTTATTCTATAGTGGTATCTGTACCAAAATACCATTTTCCACTAGCCAAACTTTACAGGTGCATTTTTCAGCCTTTTTTTTTTTTTGTCTGTCAAAGCACACACTTCAGTACACTCCAGTCTCTTCGGTCATATGGTATGTTTGTGGGAGAGTCGAGTGTTACAGAAGGCTTCCTGACCTGTATAGCAACAAAAACTATAAAAATGTCTCATTTCCTCAATTTGAAAAATATAGATTTTGTTTCCTTTTATAAATTGTGTAAATATAAATGATTTGTCAATCATTTTGGTATTTTCATTTAAAAGAGATTTATATTGAAATATGAAATAAAATAAGTTATTAGCAGTTGTTTGTATGGACTGTTCTTTAACCAGAAATTTGCTTGTTTCCTTAAACAACAAAACTATCAAGCTGCTGTTTAAAACAAAAGCATGGTAACATCATATCCATACACTGCAGGGTGGAATAACTTCCTGAAACTATGGGCAATAATTAAAATGTGCCCCTGTCTTTAAATATTAGACAATATCAGATTTTTTGCACATTAACATTAAAATTTATTTTTTTAAAATGAATAGAGACTGAGCTGAAATGCTTCATAGTGCTTAGTTCTGGTGTCAACAGCAAACTATATATATATATCATCCTGACTAGTGAGAAAAGAACATTGATCCAGAGCAATTTCCACTCTATGACCTCATTGCTTATGCTGCATTCATATCATGTCAAATTAATGGAAATAACCCACTGTAACTGGAGCAGTCACACATTTTATTGCCAGATGGTTACTCCATCACTAACCATGTGCTCAAACCAGATCAATAGAAATTAAGCCTAAATTAGCTATTTTATTGTGTTACATGTTTGTACTGTTGGATTCAACTTAGACAGAGCTGATGCCATCTGGGAGATATTGTAAATGTCACACATTCCTGATATTTCTAGTGGCTACAAGTATGAAAATGATATGGACATTACTTCCCATCCTGAAACTTGAAAATACATTCTGTATAAAATTGCATTAATTTATCTTTTTTTTTCAGTAAAATATCACTCAAAACTTGCACCACAGCCTGATCACGTCATGTGTACATGGCTCCGTGTAGGTCCTCCAGCCTGTGCTCCCTCTGTTTTCTTCTCTCCTAGTGGACAGACAAAACTATTCAGCCAGGGACTGATGCCATAGAAGAAAATGAACAATTATACCAAGAAATGCATCTTTACACACCTTGTCTTTTTTAAACTCCTCATACTCTGGATTGTCAGTTGGTAATTCAAGTCGGCATAGTGGACAGGAGTTAGTCTATAATTTGAAGCAGACAACATTCAACAGGATA